GCCCGTGTTTGCACTCGACGGTGCAGCACTCGTTTACGACAACACAGACAGCCCGGACGTGTCGTGAGCCACGAGACGACGCCGACCATCACCTTCACCATCACCGTGCAGGACTCGGGCGGCCCTGGGGACAACGACCCACCGCTCAGCACAACGACGGACATCGTTGTTCGCGTGGTCGACAGCAACGACGCGCCACAGGGCTTGGTGCTCATCAACGCAACGGCGGCCGTCCCGGAGAACGCAGTGGCCGGCACCTTTGTTGGCACGCTCGCGGTCACGGACGAGGACATGGATGAGACCATCACGTTTGAGATTCTGCTTGGCGGTGAATTCCTGGCCGTCGCCACCCCGCAACCCACTGCCTGCTCCGGTGGTGCTGGCCTATGCACTGCGGATGTTGTCACGATGACACCACTTAACTTTGAGACGACCCCGACATTCACGCTGCTGGCGCGGGCGACCGATTCTGTCGGCAGCAGCACAACGCAGTTCTTCACCATCGCCGTGCAGGATGTCAACGACATGCCACGCGTTCTTGGCCTGACAAACACGGTTGTCTCCGAGGCACCGTCCTCGCCCCTGCCGCTCACAATTGCCACGGTCATGGTGGACGATGAGGACGGCGACGTGGTGTCGTGCTCCGTGCTGGCGCCAGCAGATGCTGCCTTCACAATTGAATCCGCTGCACCGGCATCAGGCGAGACGCAACCACAGCAGCAGCTCGTGCTCGTTGACGCGCAGCCCATTGACTTTGAGGCATCGCAGACCTTCGACGTCACCCTGGCATGCAGCGATGGCAACGGCGCCACCACCGACGCCACATTCGCTCTCACTGTGCAAGATGTGAACGAACCGCCAACAGCCATTGCGCTCTCGTCCACGCAGGTTGCAGAGGACGTGCCTGTGGGCAGCACCGTTGCCTCCGTCATTGTTGTGGACCAGGACGCAGGCGACACACACAACGTCACTGTGGCCAGCGAACCTGCGGGTGTGTTTGAGGCTGTGCGCAACCCATCCACGGGCACATACGCGCTTGTCCTGGCCTCGCCCTTGGACTTTGGCACACAGGACAGCATCGCCGTCATCATTCGCGCCGAGGACAGTGCACACAACATGTTACAGACCACCATCGCTGTGAGCGTGCTTGACGCGAACGACCCACCAAGCGCAGTCACGCTTCAGCCTTCCTCTCTGAACGAGCACAGCGCAGCCGGTACGGTGGTTGGCATTGTCTCTGCCACGGACCAAGACGACCCGTCCGCCACCACTCCCATCACCATCCACGTGCTTGCCGGTCACAACTCGGGCCTGTTTGAGGTGCAGCCCATCAACACATCCGCTCCACAGCAACAACAGCAGCAGCAGCAGCAGCTTCGTGTGTTTGTTGGAGCACCAGACGCCATTGACTTTGAGATGTCGAGTGTGGTGGAGGTGGACGTGCAGGCCGAGGACAGTGAGGGCGCGCGTGGCCCCGTCACCACGCTCTTCATAGACGTGGTTGATATGCCCGAGGCACCACGCCAGCTGTCCTTACAAGGCGATGTGGTGGAGGAGAACGCCGTTGCCACGGCTGTTGGCGTCGTCTCTGTCCTCGACCCTGACGCGGGTGCAAGCATGTCGCTGTACCTCGCTGCTCGGCCCGACGACGTGTGTTGACGATGTGGCAACAGGTGGCACACGGTGCACGGCCACGCTCAACACGACCTCTGCTGCTGCCAACGCGCCAAACTACGAGGAGACCCCCTTTGTGGACGTGGTCGTCGTTGCCACGGACCTGCTGTACACGGTGTTTAACACCTTCAACATCACCATCCTCAACGTCAACGAGCCACCGTACTTGTAGGAGCTCAGCACGGCCTCTGTTGCGGAGAACACGCCACCAGGCATCCCCATAGCTACCATCGTTGCGTTTGACGAGGACAGGAGCGGTGATGAGCACGCGTGCCAGCTGCTCTCTGGCGTCGACAGCGCCTTGCTCTCCCTTGTTGCCTGCCCAGCACTCTCACGATGGCCGCGGGTATGAC